TTTTTTTTTTTTTTTGTATACCACCTGTTCCTTTTCCTATCTTATTATTTTATTTTTTTTTTTTATTCTTCTCTCTAACACATATTTTCAAATAACACCCAACACCCCACCCTAACTACTACTCCGGAATTCTTCTGTTTTCCCATGCATAAGCATCTGAGGTTAGAAACAATTTATGGTATTTTTTTTTTTTGTATACATATATACCACGAAAAAGAAAAAAAAAAAGAAGCTGTTTTGTGCGCATGCATTCAAGGTTCGATTCACTATTTGCTGGATTTATTGTTTTTTTTTTTTTTTTTGTGTTCTAACGTAATGAGTTATTGTACTGAGAAGGTGGATACATCCCAAGAACATTGAAAAAAAAAGGAAGAAAAAAAGACATTAATAATACCCCCCAAAATAAAGAAATACATTATCCTATAGTTTCTACTTTGCGTTCCTCTTTATTGTCACGATATGCCCATGTACAAAGGCAATCATATGGGTAGAGAGTGGGGAGATAGAGAACTTCATCAGACTTGGGTGTTCGTACACGAGTCCATTCTGCAGCGTAAGAGACCATAGCGAGATATACTGTGAGATGATTAATGGCATAGTTGTAACCAACGCAACGATGAGGACCGACACCAAAAGGAATGAACTGCTTAGCAAACTTGCGATCTTCTTGGCGTTCAGGTCCCATACGGTCAGGATCATATTCATCAGGATTTGTAAAACCTTCTCGACATGATCCCACCAATGATGGAACAATAAGACTTCCTCGAGGAACTGTAAATTTATCATCAATAACGAAATCAGAGTGTGCCTTCATCGGTACCATAGGTGCAGGAGGAAACAGACGAAGCTGTTCCAATACACATTGACGTGTAAATGTCATTTCTTGTACTAATTCGTACGTTAACGGCTCATCACCCACACGTAGTCTATCTTGCTCTTCACGGACTCTTTTTAAAATATCAGGTCGATCTGCCATGGTCGCTGTGATCATGGTAAGGCTGGCAGTTGATGCGTCCTGAGATGCAAACAAAAAATCCAGCATGGTATCTGCCATTGCATGGTCTGAAGTGTAAGCAGGTTGTTCAATGCCCTCCTCTTCGCATGATTTCAAAGTTTCCAATATTGTAGCAGACCAAAAATCAAGCAAACAGTGTGCTTCCGCATCTGGTAAAGACATACGAACCTTACTTCTTCTTACAGCAGCTTGAAGTTCATCCATTACTTTTTTTCGTGCCTGAACAGCCTTATAAAGTGCTGTACCAGGAAAATATATAGGGGCGGCAAGAAAGCCACCAGTTATGGCATTATAATTTCGAGTAAACTCTTCACGATTATGAAGATGTTCACCCATGAAAACGGTTTGAGAGGTTAAACAATTCATTTCACGTATATGGGTTCGCATCTCCTCTGGTTTACCCCCTTTAGGATAATTTTTTATCCAATCTGCCAAATATTTGCGAATAATACGTTCTTGAATTGGGAGATAAAGGGAAAGTGCCTTTGTAGTAAAAAGATTCATAAAACTTGCTCGAAGGGCTTTATGTTGCGGACCACTTTGGAAAGCCAAATTGTTGTCTCCAAGTATCACTCGTCCATTAGGGTGCAGTTGTAGTGTTAACGTGCTCTCACTGTTTGTGGCAAATATTTTATGGCATAAATCAGCCCGGGTCACAAATACAACAAATTGAGTCAGAATTGCCTGCCAGCTGTAACCGTGTGGAGAGTACGAACGCTGTTTCTCCCAAAATGCAAAAGGGTCTCTAATCATGGAGATCAATCCACCAACAAATGGGGGTACAAAAGTCGGCCCCGGTACGGTGAATTTGTGCTTACGAGCAAAATAAAGCATTGTAAGAAGATATGCAGCAGCATACGCCACTAGTATGAGAATGACAGCTTCCGCAAGGTACGGTAATCGTACTCCCAAAAGTGAACTGAATACCGCCATAACTAGAGACAAAATATTACAGAGTAATTTTCCCTTTGTAAAACAGTGTATCTCTCTCTGGCACAGCAAAAAATAAAATAAAATAAATAAAATAAAATAAAAAAATGAAAATGAAAATGAGGGGATAATTTTTTTTATACCAAATGCTCTCAGGAAACAAAAAAAAAATTAATAGTACAAAAACACTTTTACCAAGATGACTAAAGAGTGCAAGTAATATGATAATATTTTCAAAGAAGAAAAAAAAAAAAAAAGAAAAAGCATTCTGTTTTATGCTCAACTTAATCCTTTTAATCAGATTGAAAAGATTTGTGATTCTCAATGAAACGTTCTATGGTTTTTAATCCATGTGTTGCCCATTGTGCTTTCACACCCAACTTGGATTCACGTCGAAAGAACATCATTATAGCGTTTACTTCATTTTTACGTCGTAGCTGTGTGAGACTTAATGCCAAGTGAGCAAAGCAAATAAGTGCCAAGGGAGTCATTCTTTCGCTGGATGACACCATTCGCCCTCTAAGTTCATACCAATTTAAACCATCCTGTGCCAGCACTAAATTACAACTCCCGCTGCGGTTAGTAGAAGACTTAACACTCAAATGAAGGCCAAACATCTCAACAAAACAGTGAAGTCCTCGTATTACATTGCGCATCGCTACCTCATCATTAGCAGATTTTTTTAATTCACTCCATTCACATTTTTCTACTGAGGTTAGCTGCTTTGAAGAAAAATAAATTACTGGAAATACATAACGAAACAATTCTGGCACCTTGAGATTATTTATCTCACTTTCATCATAATCATTACTGTTCTCTTTAATAGAGTCTCCGGTGTTTACTTTGGTAAATGCTGTTGATAACATAGGCCACCATTTACCACAATCCTCCTCAAAGAGACTCGAAATAAAGAGAGTCTTATCAGTATTACTGACACCAAGTTGCAACAAAACAGGTGGAGGAAAAGGTTTTGTACCGGTAAGAACTGCGTAATACTCATGTTGCTGAGACAGTTTTGCCACCATAATGCTACCCTTTTCTACCATTTTTCTCCTCGATTGAAATCGATACAATCTTTGCTTCTCTTTTTGTCGCTTTATACGACCCAGTCTGGACTTTGAACCTAATAAATATTCCTCCAAACGCAAGTTTAGTATTTCTCGTGCTGCTCTCCTGTTAAGCCAATACGAGGGGAATTTACTAAACTTTACAATAATTCCTGAAGGTATATGTTTAATTATTGCAGTTTGCATTCTTCGATTCGTTGCTTGGCCACCAGGTCCACGACCAAGTGTGCTTTGTTCACACAAATCATCTTCCTTGAAAAAATAACGTCTCTCAAAGAGATGACTTTTATAAGAAGGGAGGCCCCCAGCTCGGCGCTCACGACGTTGAGAAAGAGTTCGCAAAATATCCAATTTATCACGAGGATGCATTTTTTCAAATAAGCTGATCGCTTTATCTTTTGGACTAGATTTCAATGAGAGAATAATTTCTTGTATGTGTTTTGATCGTCCTTTTGTATTTGCTGCAGAATAACGTTTACGACTCTGTCGTTTTTCTCCCGTCTGGCTATCATTGTGGATAACCTCACTCGCCAATGAAAGACTAGATGTATTATGTGTTTCTGCAAAGCTACACATTCTCAATTGCAGATGATACCGCAATCGAGTAGAAAACCCTCTAACACTAGTCAACCAACATCTCGTCATTATCCCCTTTACATTTCAGAAAGCGGAAACAGGGGCCCAATGAAGTGTACACCATAACGGAAACCCATAAAAGTATGGCAAGATTAAGAATAAAAACAACAACAACAACAGCAACAACAAAAAAAAAAAAAAAAAAGACGTCATGAATATGTGACTGGATATTGGTTCAATATATAAAAATAAAAAATTTTTTTACCCTATTGAAGACCGTAGGGCATGTTTTGGCGAGGGCCATCTTCTGTGTGTCTNTAAAAGTATGGCAAGATTAAGAATAAAAACAACAAAAAAAAAAAAAAAACCAATAACAATTACAAAGAAAAGTCGTCGTGAATATGTGACTGGATATTGGTTCAATATATAAAAATAAAAAATTTTTTTACCCTATTGAAGACCGTAGGGCATGTTTTGGCGAGGGCCATCTTCTGTGTGTCTAGGTTTCTCTAATTCCAGATCCGGCAGTGCAAAATCTTGCATTTCATACTGTCGATCAAATGGCCCTGTGCGCGTCAAAACCTTGCGTTTACTCCATTTGTCGACAAAAATACCGCTCTGTGGAAATGGTCCTTTCCATGGTGCTAGAGAGTCCTTCAAAACCATATCACTGTATAATTCTCCAAAAAGCTCGTTAGTTCCGCCACGATAATTATACACATGTTGGAAAAACTGTTTCTTCCACTCCCAACCTGCCTGTTCAGAGTGAAGACCATTGTGAGAAACAAGAATAATATCATCAGATTTCCTAGGTTTCTTAAAGCCATACATATCAACAAATTCTTCAGGAGAAAGCTGGAGAGCATACTCTACTTCATCACGCGGTAGCCACGAGCTATGAGGTACCCAACGATGCATCTTAAGTGGGGATGTTCGGCAGTCGATAATATACGTGTATGGTTCTGGATATCGAACTAGATGAAGAATGTCTTTGAGATAAACTTGATGGCAAAGAAGATGGTGAAACTGTGCATATTGTTGTTGTTCGTAGAGAAACTTATGACGATCAAAGTACCACGGTTGATATTCCTTTGGGTGCCAGTTAAACCATTCACGAGGATTTATTTGACCATCAACCATCATATGATGGCGAGTACGACGATCAGCTTGTCTTCGTAGCTGCGACGCAAGCATGGTTCACCAAAACCCTAATCCTAATCCTAATTCTAACCCCCCAAAAGAATCAAACGAAAATGTAAAAATAAATAATAAATAAATAAAACAACAAACACAAAATCTAGATATATGCATATATATACATATATACGTGTACAAAAACATCTAAATTATCATGGATATTTTAACAATGAAGTAAGAACAAAACAAAACAAAAAAAAAAAAAAAACACCATTACTGCATACAAAGAAGAGTAATCCTATATAAACCTTCTCAAACACGCACAATTAATAACTCTTGTTTTTTTTTTCACGGTGCTTTTTTCTCCACGGACGCAGAGAAAAAGAACATATGGGGTCTATGTTATCATAGAAAATATATTTAACAAAGTGATAATTACTTCATGTTACTTACAGGGTTAATGCCTGTTACCATGCATTATCCCCAAGAAAACAGAGAAAAAAAAGAAAAAAAAAAACATGGGAGTGGGAGAGGGGGGGCGGGAAGTAGAAAAAGAAAAAAAAAATGCCAAACTACCTTTTCAAAATGGTTTAGCATGACACATCAAGTACTTTGGGTGTTTCCCACGTAAAACCTCCTTTACCGCTATTATCGACGCGGCCAAAGTGACCAAAACGTGAGGTCATATGATATATGGGTCGGCGAAGATCAAGCTCTCTGATAATATCATAGGGACGGAGCTTGAAGTTCTTCTTCACAATATCGAGGATGCGTGCATCATCATATTTGCCAGTACCATAAGTCTCAATATGGATACTCAGGGGCTCAGCCACACCAATAGCGTATGCCAGCTGTACAAGGCAACGTTTTGCAAGACCTGCAGCCACAAGTGATTTGGCGATCCAGCGGGCGGCATAAGCAGCTGAGCGATCCACCTTCGACGGATCCTTTCCAGAGAAAGCACCACCTCCATGGGCTCCCCAACCACCGTAAGTGTCAACGATGATTTTGCGTCCAGTGAGACCAGCATCACCGTGGGGACCACCAATAACAAATCGACCAGAGGGGTTCAGGTGGTATTTAGTGTCTTCATCAAGCATATCCTTGGGAATAACAGTCTTGATCACCTTGTTCATGAGATCTTCACGAATAGTCTCATTCGTCACGTCAGGATCATGTTGGGCAGAAATAAGAACAACAGCTACACGCTGGGGTGTAAGAATTTGCTTGCCATCACGAGTATCATATTCATATTGTACAGTGACTTGAGTCTTTGCGTCAGGGCGAGCCCATGACAGTTCACCGCTGCGGCGAAGTTCACTGTATTTCATGGCGAGAGCACGAGCCAATTCATAAGTCAAAGGCATAAGGGTTTCGGTTTCATCAGTTGCGTAGCCAAACATCATTCCCTGATCACCAGCTCCAAGATCTTCACCCTCAAAATCGCCAAGGCCCTGACAAATTTCAGGAGATTGCTGCTCAATGGCGATCAACAGGTTACACGAGCGGTAATCTAGACCTTTTTCACCATCGTCAAACCCGATGTCCTTCACGGCGTCGCGAACCACCTTCTGGTAATCAAGAATCGTCTTTGTGGTGATTTCGCCAAAAACCATGATCATGCCTGTTTTTGAGCAAGTCTCGCAAGCAACCTTTGAAAGGGGGTCACCAGCAAGGCATGCATCCAATACTGCATCGGAGACCTGATCACAGAGTTTGTCAGGGTGACCTTCACTCACGTGCTCAGAAGAGAAAAGAATCTGCCGCACAGACATTGAGCTTGAAGGAAATCAAAGGCAAATGCACGTTTTTTATTGCTTTTTGTTTTGGTTTTAAGAAATACAAAATGGTAAATAAAAAACAATAAATAGAAGAAGGAAATAATGAAGAAGAAAACGAGGAAGACCAACACCACCAGATAAAAAAAAAGAGTAATAAATACAAATAGGGAAAATTAAAAAAAAAAAAAAAAAAAAAAAAAAAAAAAAAAAAAAAAAAAAAAAAAACAAGAAAAGAAAAAAAAAAAGAAAAAGAAAAAACTCTCATTTACACAACCCAGTTACCTCTATTGATAATTCATGTGGAAGTCATATATAATCAAAGAAGCAAACACTAAACTCTCACTGTAACTGAAACTACTCTTTGTTGACGCAACAAAAGAAGCCGCAACGTTTTAGGATGACCCCGCAACTCTTCCCTGGCACCTTCAAGTGTAACAACTGATCGTCCATTAATGGATAGTAGCACATCTCCAGCTTGTACAAGAGGAAAAGCAGGAGAAAAGGATTGAATGACACGGACTTGGTAATAGTGTTCTTTCACCAAGTGTCCACTTCGGTTTAACAAGCGTCCATCACTAACAACTAAGCCATAGATTTCCTCTGGTGCTTCAATTAAATTAAACTTAGAGTCATCAAATAATAATTTGGAAAATGAATAATACCCTTCCATGCATTTTTGATAATGTAAAGCTAGAAGCAACTCCTTCTGCATGCGGGCGTGTTCTACATTGTACGTACTAAAAAGCTGAAGATGTGAAGTAAGATACTCCAGAAAAAGTGAACGACACAAGTTCTCCCAATGTGGTTGTATATTTCTTACTACTAGTTTGGTTCTGATCCCCATCGTTTGCTTAACTTTTTCTTCTCTATCTATCTTCTTATCGTGTACCAATACCCTATTTGCCGATAGGGATCCATCCCAAAATTCCATTTTGGGTCCCTCCATTGCAACATTTAATCTAAGGTAAAAATCTTTTATTAAGGATTCCTTTTTATTGAGATAGTAATTATAAAGGTGTAAAATCATAGAACTATTCCACAGAAATTCCATAAATTTAACGTAGTGGTTCATTTTCTCATTTCCAATGTGAAGTCCTATCGTGGCTATAAAGAAAAGTGACTGTACCTTAAATACGCTAGATTCAAAGAGAGTTGTTTGTCTCCTGCATGTCAATTCTGACATAACGAGATCATTCATCTCTCCACTACTATGAACTACACGTCAGCCAAAGAACGACAGAAACCAAAATAAAAATAAGTTACACCCAATCATACCAGAGACCACTACCATAATAATGACAACAACAACAACCAAAAACCAGAAGAATCAATATAACGATATAACAAGGCACCTTATACGAAGAAGAAAAAAAGAAAAAACTGTAAAGAATACCCTAGCCTTACTCCCTCTTTAAAGAAATAAAACACAAGAGAAAAATATTTTGTTTCCATGATTGTTCAAACAAGTTTTGATGCATTATTTACATATCTCTATCAAATCTTTTCCCGATGATGATTGCTAATACATA